CTGGGTGCCTAGGGTGAGAGTGGAGGGAGTCCTGGTGCCAAAGCTGAAGCCTCCTCCTGTGGTATTAGTAGAAGCTGGAGCTGTGGTCACCTGGACCTTACCACCAAAGTTGAACCCCCCAAACAAGAGTCCCCCTGATGCTGCCGTTGTTGTTGTTGTTGCTGTTGCTGCTGCACCTGCTGCAATAGGTTGGGGTTGAATCTGAGGAGTGGACCCAAAGCTGAAGCCGCCTCCTGCAGGGGCGGCAGCGGTGGTCTGTGCGGCCAAAGCGCCGCCCAGGGGGAACCCCGATCCCCCCGATCCCGCCGCAGCCATAGCTGTCGTGGGGGCTACAGCTAACACCGCTGCTGTTGTGGTTTGAGGGGTGGCAGCCAGGGCAAATGTGCTGGCCCCGGTCCCAAAAGAGAAGCCTCCGCTGGCTGCAGTGCTCTTTGCGGGTGTGCTGAAGCTGAAATTGCCGGTAGAGTTGATGGTGGGCTGAGTGGCAGTGCCGAAGGTGAAGCCGCCTCCAGAGGCTGCAGGTGTGGAGTTTGTCAGCGCAAAACCCGTGTCGGAGGCTGGGGTTGTAGTCTTCGGAGTTCCGAAAGAAAAGCCCGTAGAGGCCTGCCCAAAGTTAAATCCGCCACTCATTTTCTTTCGAAGAAGATAAATAACGTCCTCAAAACTAGCTAGCGTACAAAATGGTCACTTCCTCACTGAGCCTCTGTGGCTTTTGGCGGGCCACAAATACGAACTGGTTCAGCTGAACCTATCGTGGAACCTTCTTGTGCTACTATGACTTTTCAGACGTTAAAGGTTGATAACGATAGTCAAAGGTTTGCTGGCATTACCTTAACTGAGACAGGGACAGAAAAATCCCTTAATAACACTGCCTTCTCTAAACGTGGCCCGTTGCCTCGGTACTTGATCACGCAGGTTTTTACTGTAGCTAGAGGAAATGACGAAAGTTAGGCATTTACGTTTTTTACGCCCTGAGTTTTGTCTGCCAGTGCGCAAATCCCGCCTTTTTTGTAAAATTGACAGGTTGAATACCCAATCAAAACTCTTATTAGAGACAACACCAACATTTGATTGGTACAGAGTCGTGCCTGAAAAACATATCTGTGGGAAAAAGATTTCTGAGTCTTTCCAAAGAGTACGGAGTGTGTGCAGAGTACAACCTGCTTCAAGACTGCCTTTAAAATTCAAACAGAAGAAATGTGACTATTTTGCACAAACGTCTACACAATTACACTATTTTATATAGTTATCTTGTGAAAAGGGCTCACTGTCGATGTCACATATTATAATACGGTCCTAAAACGCACTCTAACCATGACAAATAAAAAAATCTAAAGACAAAAACAAACGAATCGGGATGTCAAGTTACGACACACTGACGATACATTTTGGCTGTACTTCCCATTTTGTACTGCTTAACAATTATTATTAATAAAACGAAAATATACTTTGGTCAATAACATTTTTTTCTGAACAAAGTCCACATGTGTTTGACTTCTCTTGAGTTCGTTATGACTCTTTGGATTAGCTTGTCCCATGCTGCGCACTCGCAGTACCTTCTTCCTATGTTGACATTGCTAGTAAGGACGCAGAAATGAATAATCGAAGTAGATATATTTTACGGTAACAGTGACTATGGATGCACGAATTTCATCCGACTACTTGATAACAAAACCTTTAATTTAACGAGCGTGTTTGCGGGCCTCTGAAATTAGCCGACAAGCTAATGTCAACATAGGTGAGCTAATTGTAACTTAACTGCGTGGCTGCACTGTGGATGCCACCACCTGAGATCAAACTTCATAAATACGACTCCGGTCTGTGACACCATCTGAACAACAGCCACCAAAGGACCTGTCAACATGAGGATTTTAAGGTTTCTGAGGAGCAGCGTGTCCGTAGGAAAGGAGATAGACTATTACTCCAAATTTTCACCCTCGCCTCTTTCAATGAAGCAGTTTCTGGATTTTGGTAAGAGGGGGCACATTGACTGTCACTGGGTGGCACATAACAACACACGTAGATCACGTATTGACCTACATGAGCTTCTCCCTTTCACTTTTTAAGGTATGGGCTGTGAGCAGTTCAATTAAATATATTCCCTTACCAAAAAATGTGCGAGAAACAAGACAAAGATTAGGAAAAATGTCAAAGAATTAATCACATTTTTAGTAGAATGTTATATTTTTAATCTTACCTTGATAATCATCTAGTGCATCCCCAGTTCAGAGTTGGAATGATAAACTTTAAAGGCCATTTCTCCTGTGGTCTAGTGCCATGTTTATGATCACTGAGCTCAACTAATGATGTTAAATATTTCAGCAGCTTGGATGGCAGGAGTTAATGTTAATATGTTTAAGCATAACCGTGTTAGCCAGCACCCTATATTACATTGTGTTCCTTTAAATCTTAAAAAAAATAATCCAGTTTTGACATAAGGCCATCAGTTGCTTACTTTGTAACATTGCCTGCAATGACACCATTACAAATGGAGGTGAGTCATGCAATGACACCAGGCCGAAAACACAACAGTATTTTGTGACAACTTATGCCTCCTACATTATTATTTAAAAGAATATAACTAGAGGATTATGATATTTTTCACCCCGCAGGCTCAGAAAATGCATGTGAGAAAACCTCATTCACCTTCCTCAAACAGGAGTTACCTGTGAGGTTGGCAAATATCATGAAGGAAATTAACTTGTTGCCGGACCACTTGTTGAGGACGCCATCGGTTCAGATGGTCGAGAGCTGGTGTGCAGGTTTTGCTTTGTCTCAGTCATCTCTGAAATCAGGCTGATGCCACTGCCTGCACATCACACAGTGATGATTTCATTTTTCCTGTACAGGTATGTGCAAAGTTTTCAGGATATTCTTGAGTTCAAAGACAAAAATGCAGATGATGAGAAAGTCACGCATGAGTAAGTAAAACAAAACATACACTTGTTTTATTTCATACATAACATTTTAGTTGATGCAAAAAGTCTCATCTTTTTCTGCTGTTGCATTGTTTTATGCCTTGCTGTAATCATTATTATGTGTCTTCATTTAGTTTTGCAGAAGCAGTGATTAAGATCAGAAATCGACACAATGACGTCATTCCCACCATGGCTCAGGGACTTGTGGAGTACAAAGAGAATTATGGCACCGACCCAGTTGTCAGCCAGAACGTTCAGTATTTTCTGGATCGTTTCTACATGAGCAGGATATCCATCAGGATGCTGCTCAACCAGCACAGTGAGTACAGCCTTCACTTCAGAAAAGCATGATCATTTTCTATTAGTTGTGAATAATATAATGTGTTCTCATGGGCTTCCTGGAAATATAAAGTCAAGATTGGCAGTGGTTTCCCTTTAAATAATTAGCATGTTCTTATAATTTGCATGTTGACTTCCCTGTGTGTCTTCCTAGCTCTGCTCTTTGGTGGGAATGTGAAGTTGAACCCTGCACACCCCAAACAGATCGGCAGCATTGATCCAAACTGTTGTGTCAGCGAGGTTATCAGAGGCAAGAATGTTCTTTTAAAAACACACATTTTAGGAGGAGCAAGCTTTGACAGAGTTGCTGTCATTTACATATCATCCCATCCTGAAAACAAACTTCTTCCTTGTAGATGCCTATCAAAATGCAAGAAACCTGTGTGACCGGTATTACATGAACTCTCCTGAGCTGATACTGGAGGAATTCAACGGTAATTTGTTTGGATGTTAAACAGAAACAATGCTAGTATGTGATTAAATGTGCCTGTGTGACTGTTCACACAGATGGGTGGCAAATTAAAGGAAAATCCTGAATAAAAGAGTGGACGTTTTAAAAAAAAAAAGCATAATCTGCCAAATGTTTTGATTATTGGAGTTATCTTTTTATTCATAAAATGTCAGAAACTAGAGAAAATGCCCATTGTGACTTTCCAGAGTCAAAGGTGGCGTCTTCAAATTTCCAGTTTTGTCCAACCAACAAATCCAAAGATATCCAGTTTATGTCTGAGAAAGAAAAGCATCAATTCTTCACATGAAAGAAGGTGTAACCAGAAAATGTTGGTAATTTTCTTTTGCTTCAGAATAGTTGCTGGATAATTTTCTATCAGCTTAATGAGCATGGAAAAGTGTGAACACGGTGAAGGAAATGGAGCTGCTCTGGAGACACTTGACCAAAAAGTCTATTGTTCACTTTATATTTGTTTTTTCTTTGTCACCCATCTGTATATTTTCCATGTCACTATTTCTGTTTTGTTCTGCTTATATATTTTTTAAGTGGCATTATTAATAAATAAATAAATAGCAATAGCTTAGTTCAAACATCTGATCAAATTGAATGACCATCTGTTTGTCCTGATAGCCAAAGAGCTGGGAAAGCCCATCACTGTGGTCTACGTCCCATCTCATTTGTATCATATGGTGTTTGAACTTTTTAAGGTGAGATTTGGTCTTTGAACTGTTCTCCATACACTTCTCTGATTTTATATGCATTACTGAGCATCCTACTCATCCTCAGTGAGTTTGGACACACTTTTATTTACTTTGTTCATCCTGTATTTGGTCACTTTAAATAAAAGTAGTTTTACAGTTAAAAGTTTTTTTTGAAAACCTCTTGTGTGTTTGCCTGTTGGAGAACGCCATGCGGGCCACCATGGAGTTGCACAGCGACGCCATGGAGTATCCTTCCATCCGTACACAAGTTGCTCTGGGAAGCGAAGACCTAACAGTCAAAGTAAGGCTATGCTGCCGCATCTCAGCTTGATCTGCTCGATGTCACTCGTTTTTAAATACTAAAAGTTACTAGAATAAACTCCAGTTGTAAAATAATACAGAACTAAAATGTTCAAACTGCTTCTGTTTGTTGGATTTTGATGTGTTCATACCGTATGTTCCTCTCCAGGTGAGTGATTGTGGAGGAGGCGTGCCGCTGCGTAAGATTGACAGGCTGTTCACCTACACATACTCCACAGCTCCTACACCCAGTGTTGACGGTTCACGTGCTACTCCTCTGGTCAGTATTACTGATGTGCATGGATGTGAACAGTGAAACATTTTTTCCACGTTGCTCTCAGCATATCCAAATTATAACATCTAGAAAAGGACAGTTGCTTCTTGTACTCACACTAATTACTTCTCATATATAAAACCCAGTGTGCATGTTTGTATTAAGTTCTGGCATTAATAGTGTTTTTGCTCCAGGTTCTTTGTCCTGGATGGTTTCGTAGTTATTTTAGTGCCTGGTTGTTAATTCATTAGCTCAGTCACCATGTAAACAACCGGTATAACAGTGAATACAGAAAATTATGTTTTTGTGGTTGAACTGGACATAGAATGTGGGCTAAGTTTCCCAATAAGGTCACATCTTGGACTTGAGACACTGAATATAGTAGGGCAGGGTCATAATTCAATATTATTTATCATTGAATTTTGGAAACAAATTCTGACTGTATGATTGTGGGTATTTTGTGTGACAGTGAGACATACTTCATTGTAATAATCAGAACTCTGTGTTGAGGCTGGGGAGATGAACTCTGCTTTATTGTTGTCAAGGCTGGTTACGGGCACGGCCTGCCCATCGCTCGACTGTATGCACGGTATTTTCAAGGGGACCTGAAGCTGTACTCTCTGGAGGGTTATGGAACTGATGCTGTGACCTACATTCGGGTACACGAGTTTTACAGTACATGATCACCATGTGTGTTTCCTAAAGGAAGGCATCATAGATGTGTTTCAACCTCCTCTAAATGTTTTGTCAGGCGCTCTCTACGGAGTCCATTGAGAGGCTCCCTGTGTACAACAAGTCAGCCTGGAAACACTACAAGACCATCCACGAGGCTGACGACTGGTGCGTGCCGAGCAAAGAGCCCAAGGACATGACAACTTTCCGTAGTTTTTAGATTCACATAGCAAATGCTTCTGTAGCAAAGTTTGCTAGAGTGGTTGTTGTAAATTAGTGGTTGTGTGTATGTGTGCATGTGCTTACTGAGCCCCCCCCCAAAAAGACACCCCTGCGTTGTCCTCACAGCTTTGCAGTTAAGTTTAGGGTAAGTCTCCAGGAAATTAAGGTAAGTGGATGGTGGATGTAAAGACCCCATGAGGAATGAAAGCAAATTAACGATTAGCAATCAGTTCAAATTTCTTTGCACAGGAAGTAAAAGAAGAATTATAGAACAGAGTTTTAGTGCCATGTATTCCACACAGAACAATAGGTTTTAGTTTGATGAAAGTGTTTTGAGTGCAGCAGCCATACTCCTGGTACTTACCACTAACAGTAATACCTGGAACCAGGACCAGCTTTCTGGAAAGACACTGCTTTGAAAGTGAAGTTCAACCAGTACTGGATTTTTTAGGCCAGTACTGAAACTGACACGAGTTAAAATAATTGTTTGACATATTGGCCAAACATGGTTTTATCATAACCATTTTTTAAATTAGGGTTCCTTAAATTTTAGTTACTTGAGGATTGTTTCCCAGGTATGTATTGAGTAGGACATTTTACACTTTAAAAATAACCTTGTCAACACTCTCTGGAGTTCAAACTACGATGCTAAGATGCAGTGACTGATACGAAAGTTAATTTATTTGCTAACGTAAGCAACGTCACCATGTCTGTGATAAGCTCCATGTATCTGTCCCGCTGTAGTTGAAATGTCCCTTTTGATGTGATCCATGAACCTCCTTGTCTCAGCATAAAGGGAAAAAAAAATCATCTTTTATCAGTATAATTGGATTTGATTTGAGTCAGAGGAAAATATGCTTTTGTGACTGGATTTTATTTGAGTCAGACTTGGATTAGCCACTCGTTGAATTTGAAAAACTGGCTGTTAATTTTTGCAGTTTGAGCCATTGGCTTTTGGCTTTTTCTTTATTGCTTGGCTTTTATTTCATTGAAAGTTGAACTTGTTTGTTTCATCTCTGTCCATCCTTGTTCTGTGTGTCAAGTTTCATGACAGCAGAACTTGTTAAACAATGCATTTCTTCAGTCAGATTGATGTATACAAGCAACATGATAAAACAATATACTAATCTGCCATCTGTGAGAATAGTTGAGCCTCATATAACACTGAATAACTGGAATTTAACACAGCTGAAAGAAAGATATCTATGATGTTTTCCCGAGTTTCATATTTAATTTTCTTCTGTAAATGAGAAACAAACCCTATTTTCTTGTGGGAATTGTATCGCATACAATTTCAGTGTCTGTGGATGTAAATATTAGGACCCATCCTGATTAAGCCAAAAAAAGCTACAATACATACTTTACATGTTGCACTGTAACAGTATTGCTGTATGGATAATATTCAGTAAATATAAATATTTCAAACAGACATCTTATTTTTGTCATTGGGCCCTTTTGACATGACATCACACATCTCCCTTTGTTCCTCTCATGGGGGTGTCAGGACTAAAGCACTTGCCACAGGCGCTCAAGGATGTTTAACAGAATGTGGATATTTTCCCCTCATTTAGCTTCAGGATAAGCTTGCAGTGCAGTATAGGAAGGCTAAGAAATCCCAGAGCTCCACCAGTGATCTGACGTAGTGTAATGTATATATAATAGCTCAGGGAAATATTGGCCTGTAGCTTTGCTCTTACATCTGTTAGCTCCAGTGCCTCGCTGAATCCCCCTCTCCCCAGAATGTGAACGTTGGCTCACGTTACTGTGTACAGGGTCCATTCAAGTGTACTACAAGTGAATGGAAGATGTGTTAGTTGAGTTTATTCTTTTTATATACACACCATAAGCACAATGGACACAGACTGTTAATTTGAAATGGACAATAGACTACAAAACAAACTCTGCATGAAGTGAAAATTAGTTTATTGATGCTATGTGTACCAAGAAATGCTTCTCTGATTCACAATTTTCTGTAGTCCAACATGATGTATTCTATACAGAGTATAAACTCTTACTTGAGTTTGGCTGTCAACACGCATCGTTCAGCCTCGCATTCATACATGATACCGTGCTCCCGACTCGCACAAGTCCTTGTCCTAGGCTTGTCTTACCGTCTAATAGACGAGTGAGGTGTACGTGTAGCAGACCTGCATGCTGTTATGTATTTACATGGAGCATCATGGTACCATTTAAGCAACCAGTCAGGCATAGCAGGGGCAACATTCGCCTGGTCCCAGATTGATTTGTTTGTTGCTTTTCATTCAGCAAAAGCCTAGCTATTCTACTTAGTAGAAACATTTACATAGTATAAAATGAACAATGATCTTTAAGTAAAAAAGATATGCAGTTAATAGGCACATGTATAAAACTCATTTATACATTTAAAACCTTGTTGCCCATTGAAGCTTAAAAGACAAATATAGTGCTTTTATCTGAACTGTACAATAGCCTTTCCTGCAAAAGAGTTGTACATGGAAACAGGTAAGGTATGCTAGCAAAAATATAAAATGCTGAAAAAGCTGTATACATTTGACTTTCATAGGTAAAACTGCATGATCTGCGACAGCTACATCCTGATCTGAAAATGGACTTTCTATAATTATAGCTTCTATTTTTTTAGTGGTGAAAATTGTTAGGGTACCTTGTTGGCCACATATGCAACTTTGTGTTTTTGACATTCAGTTAAAATTGTTTGAGCTGAAGTTTGTTAAAATATTAGGCAGAAAAATCACAATTATAGAAGGAACAGGAGCCAAAGTGTAAACAGAAAATCATATCTGGCACCTCAGTCAGTCACTGTGTACTCCAACCATGTTCCACAGTTGTAGGTATGAACACCATGTGACACAAAAAGCATGGCACTAACAGAATAAAAAACAGTTTCTCAGGGTTCTGCATGGTGATGAATTTTATGAGCTACATGAGTTCAGAGTAGAGTTACTACCTCAGCACACAGAGTCAGTACTGACTGGCAGTCTTCCACTGCGTCGAGCCTCCTCACTTTTCTCTCTCTGTTTCTCGATCTTCTGCTGGGCTTTGCGCAGGTCTTTCAGCTTTTTCTTGATCGTTGAACGATCGCTCTGAGCGAACACACCTAGTGCCTGAAGGAAAAAGTGCACAGATTTAGCCAGTACATTTTTGCTTTAAAACATGCCAGTTAACTCATCATTTTGGCTGTGGAGCAGTTGCTGTCAGACAACTTCGTATGATCAGTGGGAGATTTTTCAAAGAAGTCCTTTGGATTTATGTGGAGGTATAACTGGAACATTTATCTTGTAGTAAAATTTTACCATGAAAATTTTTACTGAAATTAGGATGAAATACCTAACTAGAATTTTAGCATGATTAAAAAAAGTTGCTTTGAAATGAATCTATATGCTACAAATCAGTAATGTGCAGTCTTTTCTTATAATTTTCTCAACATTCTTAATATGCCTTTTCCCCACTAATGCTGCAGAAAGGTGCGAATTAGGAATTCTCTCTATCTTAAAATGCCCTGTGATAGACTGTCAACCTGTCCAGGGTGTACCCCACCTCTCACCCAGTGTCAGCAGGGATTGGCTCCAGCCCCCCTGTGACTCTCTTCAGGATAAACAGAATAGATAATGGATGGATCCATCTTAAAACACTCTGGCCACAAGGTGGCAGCCAAAGAAATGACAAGGCCTGACTGACTGCAGTGAAAAAATGTCATCATACCATCACTCTTGAACTATACTTCCAATTACATCATTTATAAAGCCACTTCAGGTAGTTTTACCTTCAACTTGTCACTGTCCAAATGCAAGAGCTGCTGGCCATCAACTCCCTTTGCTGTGAATTCAGGTGTATATTGGTCCATATTCATGCCCATCAGCCAGTGACACACCTGTTGATTGGTCCATTCAGAGACAGGCCGGTTCTGCCACTGATACTCTTTGACTGTAGCTACTGGTTCATCATCCAAAGTCTGCAGACAACACAGATAATACAAGCATATATTAGAGAACTGTTGCTGTAACAAAAATACTACCATCTTATACTTTGTTAAAATGAATTCAAATGCATTTTTCTGAAACTTTCTGTGCAGGATTCAGTTTGGTGCTTTTAGTCTCCACCTGTTTTGTGTCATATATTATTGTACTCTAAAAGAAAATAACAATTACTCCTGTCCAGTGGATGGAAAAATACATAAGAATGACTTAGTCCAAAGATATATCATTAATGCCCTCCAGCAACATGCAACAGCCATATGAAGCCATGCCATGTGTTTGACATTTTGGGTGTTATTAACGCACAATGAAGTAACAAGTGGTGGAATGCACACAATTATTTTCCCAGTTCATTCACAAAATAACTTAAATAAGTGCCATTTGAAATGATTTCATCAGAGTTAAATTGTTCCTACTGGCGTGGAAGTTGCTAAAAAGCTAGAGAGAAAAGAGGCCTGGTGACCTCAGGAAACAAAAGTAAGGCCAACTAGTGTGTGCATACAACAAGCAGAAAATGATGAACAAAATTGTGGGTAGTGTACACATTCCTGAAACTATCACTGAGAAGTGTGCAATGAGATACTTAAAAACAGTTGCTTATAACATCAGAAACAACAGATGGTGAAACACCACTGAGCAGGCGGCAGAGAAGTCAACGTTGTTCTGTGGCCTGCCAAAGCTTGTAATCGACTTGAAGCTCTAGTGGACTGTGCTACCAGGGGCAAAGTCACAAACTATTAACATCACAGCTGGCTTAAGAAATGCTAAGCCACAAAACAAAATTGCTCTAACACACACATGCAGCTCGCTTCTGTTCCCTCTCCACTCATGATTTAATCTTAAACTACGAAGGGGGGAGGCTCAAAGAGCATGCTTGACAATGTCCCCTTTGCATCAAGGCGTCCCACATGGCTTTTGTGACTGCAACAAGAAGAGCACTCACCTCGCTGGAAGAGAAGAATAAAGTGTGCGAGCGCCCAGACAGACTGGGTTCAGCAACTAACCCAGAGGTGTCTGAACAGGGACTGGCAGCATTACAATCATCTATGACTGAAAAACTCTGGAACAGGTGAAAACAAGGAACGCATTTACTAAAGTAACACATCACTAAACAACAAATCTTTACTACGAGGGCACGCAAACATAATGCTACAGGTCAGAGCAATGCTGTGTCCATTAGGACTGAAATTACAATGATGATTAAACTGATTACAGTGGAAGCAATGGCGTCCACTGATTCTCAGGTATGAGACTGTGATCTTCAACATGTGGAAGAAAGAGAAAATCAAGTGCCTACTCTGTAGCACAATATTTGTGGTAGAGTGTGGATACTCGAACCGAGCCCAATGGTACCCTTAGGTACCCAAGGGTTAGGGCTAGGTTTGGACCAGGTTGGACAGAAATTTAGAAGTTATATTCAGGGCCGGGTCAGGTTTGGACATGTAGATCAAACTTTAGGCTAGACGGCCTCATTTAATGATAAGGGGTAAAACACAATACAAACAACTGCACTGGGCTCGGGTCGAGTTTGGACATCATATACTATAAGCTTGTTGGGTCTGGGTCAGGTTCGGATGCCACACTCTCAGGCACCCGTCAGATTTGGACAGAAATACGCAGCCCAATCTATGCTATAATATGAAGTGAACTAAAAAAAAAAAAAAACCCACCAGCAAACTAACTTCTAAACTACGACGACTAACACTACTTCTAATGAAAGATCACCAACATACATTTCAGGTATGGGATAATGTTTTCAATTTAGTTAGGTGCTTTCAGATGAACTATTTGGTTCAACAAGTGTCAATTTTTACAGGTGAAGTAATTTAAAAGTGTGTGGCCTGTCTTCAAGACAAAAACTGGATTGAAACTTGGAACCGGGGAAATATCCAGACCTGCAGGCTGTTGCACCAGCTATGCGCAAATTAGTGTGAAGTTTAATTTCAACACAAAGTGATATGACATTTTAAAAACAGACTAGACAATACAAATTAGTTACAACATAACAATTAGTGTTGGCCCTACACATGAATCTCCGATCAAACAACTGATTAGTTGGTGCATCAACCGTGAGAAATTATTTTTGGCTGCATCTATTTTCTCCAATTCAAGAGACACGGCTTTCTAAAGGTTAAGAAAAGTAAAGTTAGATAACATTAGTTTCATTACCCACTAAAGGAGAAGTAGTGAATTATTCACAGGATGTTTTGAGGGGAGCAATTGCAAATCGCAGAGCTACATTTGTTAGTGATCAACTTGCCATCTAAAATCAAAGGTAATACAAAAGTGTGTATACTGTACCAAATCTAATGAGCGACTGAATAAAGAAGACCAGGAGAGATTTGTCTGTTTGAAGGAAACACGGTGCAGTGAGATAAATGTCAGCGTAGACAAATACCACCATAATGCACACAGCAACACAACCAAAGCCATTCTCTTAGTTCTCATTTCTGTTAAGTCCAGTTCGTGTCTTGAACTCATTAAACAGTACTATGGGAACACCAGCCCAACCACAGGCTGTCTTGACAGTTATCCAGGCATGTCGCTGATGTGTCACTATTTGCAAACTCATTGAGAAGCCAACAAGTCCCTCCTTGCTGGCTGATGGCTTAACACATGGATTTAGTTACTGTAGCCTTTGCATTGTGTATTTGAAGAACTGTACAGTGGCGGCACATGTCTACAAACAGCCTCCCATTAGGTGTGTACTGCTTTTACTTTTCAATGATGCCACTAATATATTGCAATGACAGACAGTAACTGTCTTACAGCTCATCAAGTCAGCAATGGTGAGAACTAATGACAGAAAGAACAAGTTCATGACCCTTCTAATGGTGCATCTCCATCTCAATTACATAGTGTTAAATGCTATAAAACTAATACCAGATTAATCCCCAGCTGGATACTAAGAGTTTCTTTACACTGTCTCTCTCTAAGTTAGAGAAAGTTCCATACCTTATTCTTGCGATCCTGACTTTGTTCATTGCTGGTGTCAGCCACGGTATATGGCAGGCTGCTGCTGGAAGAGGAGGGCTCCCTGTCCCTGTCCTTCTCCTTGTCCCCAAACCAGGAGAAGGGCATACAGGTAGGGATAGAGGTCATTGAGTCTGCTGGAGACAGGTTCCCTCCAGACTCCTCCAGTAACTCAGCAGACCCCCTAGAGATTAGAAGAAATGGAAGGTACTGATATAAACACACAGGCTTACACGTGTGAGAACTTAATATACATGATGCATAAATTAATCAGCAAGTAATAACTATCAGATAAAAGAGGAGAAAACAAACTATATTAAGATTTGGGAACTAGAATGTAGAAGGCTGGTAATGTGTACCTTAATGTTTACAGGAACAGGAATTCTGGAAATGCTGTTTAGTTCTGTTTAGTTTGATATGGAGTTCACTCTTTACATGAGCCTTTGTTATCAACTGAGTGAGTAATGTTGTTCCCATTAATAAGAACTTACACCTATAACACTTCGAGGAACATTTATGGCACTTGCTTTAGTAGCAATGTGCAACTCCAACAACAATCTTAAAAAGTAAAAGAAAAAAAGGTCCACAACAAACCAAAAACCTTTGAAATACATATTTTATATGGCTATAACAGTATTAATTCATATTAACTATACCTGCTGTCCAAAGATGATCTTGTCCCATCCTTGTCATGTTTCTTTCCTTTGCCACCTGACTTCCGGAGGCCTCTGTTTTGATCAACAGTAACGTTTGTTCAGTTACTATGAAAATGGTGGGAACTTGGAAACAAATAATAGTGGTTATTGTGGAGACCTACCCAAAGTCTGGCTGATGAAGGCTCATTTAACTCCTCTGGAATGAAACAATAATTAGCATTGTTAGTAGCAATGTAAGAGAATGCCTTGCTATTTCAGTCAACATTTGGGTCTTGCATACCTTTGGCCCCTTTACCCTTGCTTTTGGACTCCCTCTTCTTGACATTGCGCATGAATCCAGAGGGGGAATGTGGTGAGGAGTCATCTTTTGGAGGAGACGATGGACTTCCACCACTTTCAATACTTTCTCCCTGTGACGGTGACAAAGGGGGGCTGCTGGAGAGCTCTCCCTTACTCCTGGATCCATCTCTGGTTTTGCCTGGATCAGCTTTCTGTCCAGTCCCAAGATAGTAGACAGGCACTGGGAGGGACAGGCTCTCTTGGATAGACCTCCTCTTCCTGGGAGATTCCTGCTCCTCCTGCTCATCCTCTTCTTCAGTTTCCTGTGAGGACAGAACCAATTATTTACAAAAACAATGCAAGGAAGTGGGAATAAAAGCTATTCATATAACAGAAAGCACCGCTCCTCAGTTCTGATTGTCTGAGTCATGTACTTACACGCTGTAGCGAAAAGATATTCAGTGTTCTGTAATGTACTGTAGAACAGCTGTGGGTATGTTAACACAGTTCTACCTTTTTGGAAAAGTGCTGCCTCAACAGCACCACAGTGGGTCACACCTGCTATCTTTGCATCCTGGCAGATTTGAGATGTTTATAAATGCTGATTGCGCAAAGGCAGATGACCCACAGAATAAGTGGCAGTAAAACTGGCAGCTACCACCACTGCTTAAAATATCATGTTTCCTGAGATTTGCCAGCTCATTAACATTCATCTTCAAGTGAAGAATCATTCAAGTTGACAAGTGCTCTGCTTCTTCTATAAAAGGGAAGCAAGGGATGTGTTTGTCACTGTTAGTTTTAAGTCTGATGTACCATAAGGGTGTTTCCTGCTTCATGCTCCACCTTACACTGGGCCTCAGGTGGCCGACTGCTCCATGCTCATGCAACAGGGGTCTTTTATATGCTGTGCATTAAGCCAAGTAACAGTATCAGCTGACCTGAGAGTGTCTTGAAGCCACAGTGAGGTTCTCCTTCAATTTGTTCCGAGATGGAGGTTGACGTTTGGCTTTCTGAGCCAACAGGCCTTTCGCTCTATGTGCACTGGTGTCCAAGCGCTCCGTCTCAGGGACCAGCTCACTCCAGTCTTGTTCTACAGCAAAAAAACAAAAAAAAGACAGTGTATCACTATTTTAATCTCCCACCAGGGTTCACTGGAGTTTGATGTCTGTTAATCTTTTACAGATCACATAATGAAAATGTCACATGCGTGCTTCCATTTTAAATTGAATTTAATCCGCCCTTTAAGTCACCCTTTCTACCTAGCAGTGAGTCAACAGATTGTGTGTTGGTGAATGAGCCTTGGCTGCTGATTCTCTCCTCTGTAGCAGAGTTCTGACGACTCCGTCCTGAGGCCTCTCTGGACTCCAGGACAGCTATCTGTGGACAAACAAACAACATTCAGGCTCATTACAGTGTGTCTACCAAATACACTGTGGTGTATGTGGACTTTTTTCTGTGCTGGCTCTTACCCTGTTCTGAAGACTCTCCAGATGTTCCTTGTACCACTTGTCTTTTTCATCCAGACATTTTTTCAGCTCCTCCTCTTTCTTCACAAAGTCTATCTCTCTGGAGAGTAGATAAGGAAATGTCACTTACCATCAATCCTTTTGATTGTAAACATGCTCTATTTTATGTGATTATCGCTAAATTACTTAATTCCACTGGCAGATTGTTTAGTAAATCACAGGCTGTAAAATCAGAGTTTAGCTTTGGTTCAACAATATCACTTATGCTCCTCTGCAAAAAAGCAGAGGAGAAAGCTACTGTCAAGACAGAGGTTAAAATATATCTTTTGCATTTATTTTCACTAACTCTTTAGACCCAAATTATCAAATATAATAAACATTCCTGAACCACACCCACACTGTCAATCATCTCCCAGATGGAATGAAGGTGAGTGGAATTTCATTTATGCTGTTCAAAAGGTTTAAAAATTAGCCTTTGAAATTTCAACAGTATTGTGTCTGTGCTTTTTGCATTATTGAGGATAATCTAAATGTTTGACCATTTTCATGGTTATTCTGCAAAGTAAAAATGACATTGTTTCCTAACGGGGATTTTCAAATACAATGTTCTGAACACCACAAAGGATGTTCTATTCATCCCCATTGTATTTAGGCAGCAACAGACATCTCAGAGACCAGTATCTCAAAACCTGAACTACTGGCATGGCAAGATACCACTGGGGTTATGTCAGAAGATGTTTTTTGTGATTTGGGTGAGCTGACCGTTTAACCCCTTGCCCTGTAGTTTTTATTACAGCTCAACCTTTTCCCTGCACAAGAGGCCTACTACATGTCATTTAAACAATATTCCCTCTCATATACTTAAAGAAAGGCTGGATTCTGTTACTATTTCATCTATCAATAATAGTTCTGTCAATGTTCCATCCAGCTACAAACATGAAATGATACATCTACTAGTTTGTCACAGGTTGTCTCCTTTTTAGACAAATCATCTGTACAAACTCCATTCATGTTTTAAGATGCAGCACGTGTTTCATTGGTGTCTTCAGACCAAAAGCATATTTTTGTTTTTCATGAACTAACTGGTTTGATACCGGTTTGAAACTCTGACCTCATTACCTACTATTCTGCTTGTAGTCTTCTAAGACCTACTGACAATCGCTCCTCTTCAGTCTATGCTTCTATTTAAAAACTATTCACTCAAGCATTTTCCAACTTGTCACCAGACTGCAGAAGAGTGTTTTCTCTTCTGACATTTTTTAAAATCATATCTTCAGACATCTTTATATAATCATATTCTGTTTATCAAATTTAACAAGTTTCTGTGTTTATATTTACCCATTTAATTGATTATTAAGCTACTTTAATATAATTATCAACCTGTGTTTTTCATGTTTAAGAAAAAAAAATTTTTTTTGGGTCAACATTTGTTTTTTTAATTAACTTGAGTAAAGCACTGAGTGTTGTGAGGACAAACTCACTTCTGCTGGTAGTCCTTGAGTAGCTTCTTGGCCTTGTTGTACTTCTTGTCTAGGGTCTCATACTGGGTCTGAATCTCAGTTAATTGTTGATTCACTGTCTTAGACAGAGCCTGGGCTTCCAGCCAGTAACTCTCCAACTTCAGGATTTTATTGTTGTTATCCTCGATCTTTTGTTCCAGCACCGACTCCCTGGCTTCCCACAATGACTTGTCCTCCTCCGATGCCCTTAGCTGTACAGAGATGTTGACATGTTAACTTTGGCTGGCTAAAGTGAATTTGTTTAGTGGGTGTGTACACCACGTATTGTGTTAAACAGTAAATACTTTAGAAGAAATAAGTCATGCATTTTTGTGCTTATCCTCACATTTTCTTCAGCAGCTTACTGTAAGATCACCAACATTGAAAGAATCATCATAAAAAATACAAATATGAAAGTCTATTTTCCGATTTGGTTTCTTATATAATAACATGATAATTATAGGTATATTTATTTCTTTTTTATGTTAAGTGAATATCTTTAAAATAATCATCAGTAAAACAAAATACTGATTTACTTTCTGTCATACCTTATCCCTTAGTTGGTTTATTTCAGCTGTGGCAATGCTGTGTTTAAACTGCAGCTACAGTCCAAAACAGGAAAATAAAACATTTGGTTACTGTGTTGTCTAAACTAAATAGTGAAACAGATTTTAAATCACATAAGACTGATAGTCATGGTGTGGTTGATACCTCTTTGAACCTGAAGGCCACCTGAGAGTTGTCCATGTTGCTTGGCGTAAACAAGGCCTCTGAATCAGGCAGCTCAAACACCTCTACATTCCGCCCTGGAGAGAAATTGGAGCCCAGAATTCCCTCATCAGCTCCATCCTCCTCCTCCTCATAGTGCTCCTCCTGAAATATGATATCGCACATAGCATGACATATTGCAAACCCCAACACACCCTAAATGCCCAGGAACATGCTCAGCATGTGTCATCAGCACATTCTGGGAGCAACATTTTAATGAATACATTATAACCAAGAATGAGTTGGGGCTGGTTTGCAAGGACACACCGCAGGACTTTGGCTACACATGCCTGCCGCGTCTGCAGCATAGACACATTAACATGAACAACGTTCTCGCCAGATAAAATGACTATCATCCTGCAAGCATATACACACATTTCGCCTAACCACTGAGCCAATAGAAACGGTGTCCACATCCTCAATATATTTTACACAACATCACTTTTGTCTTTTTGTTTGCTCCTGTAAATCCCGCATATGATCTTTGCTCGGTCTCTCTATCATAAAAATAGGGGCTTGTGGCCGCTTGAACTGCAGAAAGCAAACATTTCACAACTCTGGCAGACGGGCAACAGTTGAATGATCACCTTCCAACACAGCAGGTCAGTGACACATGGCTTACTCACAGCCAGCTGCTCATTTCCTGGTTGAGCTAAGTGGGACTGGGCTGGGCGTGGCAAAGAAGCTAATACTGGATTTATCGTAATTATGAGTTTCCAACTTGTAAATAGTATTCATGTCAACATCCAAATTGTAATTATGACTGGTAATAAACTCAGGAGGAGCTTATTTAGGATGTTCCAATATATCTGACTTAATCATATAGATGTGCCTGAAAACCAGACTGACATTCAGTATCATTAAACCAAAACTGAACATATATGGTACTGTCAACACGCATCATTTTAATCCTCATATAACCAGCTCTGTAATAATAAAACTGTCCTGATTATGTGAACCCTTGTGAGTTGCTAGCATTGGAATCTTTACCATCTCTACCATCCAACCCATATAATGTCCTAATTAGTTAACTTACCTCCTCTGTGGAGTGTTCATAGGGGTCGTCAAGGTGTTGCTGCTGCTGCTGGTTCTTCTCCTGCTCTAGTGTCTCGCTTATGAGGCGGGCTACTTCGCTTTGTGTCCCTGGCTTCTCTCGTCCAATCAGAAATCTGTTTTGTTAGAACGCAGCACACTAGTGCACCATGTAATGGAGTATTTTACATGTTACCTGGGAGTATCCCATTGTCATTTCCCTGTAAATGCAAATTTTGCAGTGCAGTTTAGGCCTTACCCTGTCATGTGTGTGTGTGTGTGTGTGTGTGTGTGTATATCTTTTTCTTAGGACACATCCTTACCATGCCACAATACTTGGTGCTACTTCTTTCCATTAAAAGAAAAAATATATAATTATGCATTGTTTATGGATTCTCAGGAAACAAACATACCGGACTGTTTACCAGTTATTTCTAATCACCCTGCGACAGTGGCTCATTCTTGTCAACAAATCTTTCTCCATCTAGTTATTTCTAGGTGCAGAGACGGGCTTTGAACTGACCTCACAGTGCCTTTGGTGTTCTTCAGGACTGTAGCAGCAAACAGCTGGGTGACGCCCACCAGACTGATACCATCCACCTCCACTATTTGGTCATTTACCTGTATGCTAAAGACAGAAAGGAGATAATGACTACAAGGAAAATTTTCAAAGCATTCCCACTCAGGAGTAATGCATTAACTCATTGCAGTAGTTAAAAAAAATACAGTAGCCTCAGTGCAGCAGGTAATAATACAAATCTATAAATGCATGGGAAACAGAAGTAGCAAGACTATTTTGTTCAGCTTCCTCTTGAGGTTATAAATAAATCCAATTGTTTGTGTTTGTATGCTGTCATTGAGGAGGGGAAAAGGAATTCCTAGCGTGTGGCATTAAAAACACTTGTGGTTCAGTGTACAGAGAGGTCGCTGCCATGTTTCCGGTTAGTATAGAAGACATTACAGTTGTAATAAATCTGTGTGGTTGTGTGATTTAACTCACTGCCCATCTTTTTCAGCTGCTCCTCGCTCTGTTATGGTTTTCACAAAAATGCCAAGCTTTTCCAGACCCTGGTCAGCTCCCACTCCCATTCCTATGATACTGATACCAAGCCCATTGTCTCCTGGATAAAGCAAAATCATGAAAATGTTAAAGAGTTGGTAAGAAAGACACTGCATACCACATCTTATTGCTCTAGACACTCAACGTATTAAGATCTGTATATGATGTGAAGTGGCTTTTGTGTTTACAGACTAAATCTAAATCAAAGTCACAACTCCAAACTGCTAAACTACACAAAATTAAGTCACTACTGTTTGTAGGGCAGAGCGTTATGTGAAGCTTTGTGAAAAACATGTTTACTTCCTTATGAAATGTTCACTAAATGAAATCTTTCAATACATAGAAATTTACTTTCATTGTCACTAAACTCACCTTTCTCAATCTCCACGGGGAACACATCCATCTTCTCCACTCTCTTCTCCAGCTCATACTCTGCAGATGCTGCAACTGGGTCCACATCATCGTTTCGCCGATCATATTCCTCATTTGAGAAGGTACTAAAGACCTGTATTGGTCAAAACATCACGTACAAAGCTTCAATACGCCACCTTCTATGTTCTAACATGGCAGTTAAGTATCAGACAGATTACTGTTGAGGAGTATTGACAGGCTTGGCGCAGACAGGCATATTATTTTTACTTTTCTTCATTTGGCAGTAATTGCATGGTGAAGCAGAATTACACTCAAACTTTGGGCCTTTACTGGGAAATTAGACTAACACTGCACTACTGAAGCACATTTTAACATCTGCTGAAGGGCTGCATGATATATGATGTGGACTACAGAAATTGAAATGCACTCCTTTATTCATCAGATTGTGGCCAGTGACCATTGTTCTCATTTTCAGAATAGTACCTGATGGAGATTATGAAGCTGAAGAATCCTAAATGATCTAACTGTACAGATAGCATCGCCAGCTGAACTGTTGGCAAACTTTTAATCTTTAGTAAAAAGATTTATCAATCACATTTCTGAACAGATGTAAATTGAGTATCAGTGACACTGAAGCAGAACATGTATTCCCAAGACCTACTCTAGAAGACTTTCATCAGAGTTTTAAGAAGTTGTGAACTTTGTAGGCAGGCCTCACAAAGCACTGAAGTGTCCCAGAGGCGTTCTGGTTGGAATTATAAAGCAACACAGTACAGGAGAACATGAGCAGTATGGAAAGTAGGGCACAGCTGGGGAGAGCCAAGCAGTGGATGTAGCAAAGATCAATATTCAGAGGAGCCAAGTGTTGTCATCTGCATAGTAAAAAGAAATTAAAGTTTAATCCCTTAACTTTTAGTCATTAGGCACTGTCCAGCCTTAAGGCTTATTACATCCAACAATACTCTGTGCTATTCAGCAGACTGCATTTCTACCAAGCAGAAATGCCATTTGTACTGCACTTGGAAAAACACTACCAAGATGAAGCTAAAGTGAGCACTAATATCCAGCATAAAATGAATCTGAGATGACCATCTATGGTAATATGTGCCACCCTTCTCCATTAATATTTTCAACAAAAACACAGTAGAGAGTGAAAAATACAGTTTCCCAGCGTCCAATCCATTTGGCATCCAACATCTTCTAATGTTCTGAGTCAAAGTCCAAAACCCCAATTTTTATCTAACAATGAGATGGCTGATTATCAATCTTACTATGGGTGGAGCCATGATGATACTGGTAGTGATGGGGTCTTGACATATGTGTCAAAATGTGCACTAAACAGGTGCATCTGACTAAGTTAATAATTTTAAAAAGCTGATAATTTGGTTCTGCTTTGTGTAAAAGAGTGGAATGGTAGTTTTACTGAACATTTGGATGGCTGACTGGATGGAAGTAAACAGGAGAGCTGCAGCTCTTCTGGACTTTAAATAGAACAAAGAGGTAAAAATAGGAAAGGATATCAGCTGATAGGACATGAGATGCAGATAAAATATGAATAAAGAGTAAGAATATTTTTTATACTGAACTTCTTGGGATTTAACCATCTATATAAATAGGTGTCTCAACTATCGTGCCTACTCTGGCCACATTTTTTTGAGTCGAGTCACTTTCATTCTTATTTTAAAACACTTTTCCTAATTCCTAAGAACAAAGTATCAGGTTTCCATCACCCCCCTTTTATTTATTTCAGATGTTTTCTCAAGGTAAGAAGTTATCAAGTTAAGTCAAGTTAGTAAGGGGCTAGGCTGCCAAGTCTATAACATGCAAAGTCTATAACATGCACAAACAAGAGTACCCAGAGAGTGCATGTACCTCTGCCAAGGCACAACATTCACTCAGATGGGTTCCTTGTAAAACATAAGATCCAATGAAACACAAATTGTGTTCTATATTCCTTGATCCAGACTGGATTTGGATCATCTTTTACGGTTAGGCAGTTATACTGTGCATCTTACTTGAACATTTCAGGGTTCTATCCTCATTATAGGCCAGGTCATGGCAGAAAATATGCATTACATGGGGTTTTCAATGTTAATTTTAAATGGCCATCAGATCCGGAATCCGGATCAGATCCAGATGAAATTTGGCCTGGTGATAGACATTGCCACCCTACATTATTTGTCTTAAACTTCAAAATGATGGAGTTATGAATTTGTAAAACCTGGATATTTGTGGTTATTTTTTGTGACCTTGACCTTTGACCCCCTTTAGCCAAACTCTAAATGCGCGCACACACACACACACGCACACACAAAACAAAAACATAACCTCCTTGGCAGAGGTAAGAAAGGCATGCAAATGCTTGCACACTCGACAATGTCTTCTATGAGGGCTGAAACAGAGGAAGTCTATTTGAACCATATTTTATCAAAACACCACTATTTACTGGGGGAATGATATGGGACCTCTCAAAGATTTTTTTTTCTAGGAATCCGCCTGAGGGAACACTCATACACACTTGTATCCTGAATCTTAACTGAAACATTTAAGTGTATCAGCTTGTAGTATTTGCTCTACCTTCCTGTTATATTCCTCTGATTCACAGTTTTGAATCTCTCTGGTTACACAATCAAATGATCCACCCAGCTCCAGCGTACTGTATTATTAGCACCTAATTGTCTACAGCGATTGGCCACATGCGCAAGACTATCAGAGTCTTACAAAACCTCAAAACTGGCTTACTTGGCTCATAAATATTAAGCATTCTGGTGATTTGTTGTTTTCTACTGTGCAATCGTGGATATCTGAAAGACATAAATCCTTCTCTCTGTCACAGGTTTTTGAGTAGTACTCCCATTCTGCTTCCATGATATAGAGGGTCACAATCCACAGAGTGGCCATTAACATTATTAAAGAAGAGGAGTTTACCATTTGGCAAATAAAAAAGAGGAGTAAGACTGGTATAACTGAATTAATTAAGACATTTGTGAGGAGGGTGTGTGATGTAAACATTTTCACTCTGGGCAACAGAGTGGAATGATTTCATCCTACCAGAGGGTCACACTCCTACAAGAGGTTAAAAACCACTGTATTACAGTAAGCTATGCTACTTAAACTCAGTCACACATTATATTTGATTGGGATGGTGACAGTGATGTTTATCACAAAATGTTTTAAGGTAATTTGTACAGCTTTCAGTTATATTTAATTACAATCAGAAGGTAAATCTCATGAAAATAAAAACTGCTTCCATGTCTGCACTTTTATGGTAACTGTTATTTGTTTTATAGAAACACTGCATTATTATCAAGTACTTTTAACAGCGCTTTGTATCAGTGAGTACTCAAATGTAACTAGCACTTATACTCAGTCTGATAAAAGTGGTGTTGGTGCATCTCTAGCTATAGGTTTATATTCATTAACCCCTTGTCCTCTCCTGCATAACCACTGTGCTTTCTTCCACTGGTAAATATGTGATCTCTTTAATCTACACATAGCACTGAAGAATTTTTTTAAGTAACTACTGAGCTACTCTAGATATTTTTGTCCTGCTTGCACTTTTAACCAAATGCTGTATGTCTCTTAACAAGCTTGAGAACACTTCTATAAAGAGAACTGACAACGCTCATCAACTTCTTCATTTAGACAGTTAACACTGATTCAGAATTAGAGCAGACAGAAATGTCATTAAGGATGAAAGATGCTTTTTAGTTTAGACTTTGGAGACTTTAAAAGGGTGAAAATGTAGGTTAATAGAATATAGGAGCACCACTGCATCCTGTGCTGCAGGATTTGCTGAAAAGCACCAGATGAGCTTGGCTTTTCCCCCTACCTCCCCCTCAACTCCAATGTCTAATTTCTCTGTTGCCATGGACTCCCAGGCCTTTTGCAAACAATGTACTGTTCTTTGCTGCAACCTAATGAAGAAACAAGCAAGACAGAAATCAGTCTCTTTATTAGTCTCTTCCTCACATAGACATTCTCACACACTTCTTACTGACTCTAGATAGCAAACTAAACACCCATTTTCTTTTGTTGTTTAGGAAATACACAGTCCAACAATGGACAACCATTGAATAGGCAGACTGACTTCCACAAGTATGAGAGACCAAAGAATAACTAATATTTTATCTTCAAGTTTAAAGTGAACAATGTATTTAATGTTTTAATGCCAATTTCTTCCCTTAAATTACTGTTTTGGACAGTGGGGTCATGTTGTGGGCCAGTAAACTGTTACGTCATATTTTCATTTCTACCAAAACTCCAGTTTTCAGCAGTTTGTGCAGGCCTTCTATCCTTTTTCAGCAACTGCAGGGGTCTGTACTCTCTACATGTGCTCACACACACACCAGTGTATACATGCCCACACCCACAGTGAAACCCTTTCCATCTCCCCTCAATCCCCTCCACACAACAGAATACCAATGTGGGAAATGAGTCAGCAGCTGCAAGGAAAGGCAAACCAGGGAATCTCTTGCCAATGTAAAATAAGGGCTGGCCATTGGACCTCATAACGCAAGCAGGACTACAGAACGACAACAAATGAAAATACGATGCGAGAGCAAGCTGGGGCAGATCAGAGTAATTAGGAAAGAAGGCATGGGCCCCAGTTTTGAGATCCAATGTAAACACGCACACAACCCAACTAAACACCCACGCACACATATATATATACATACATACATACATACACACACACGCGCACACACACACACACACATATATATATATATACATATATATATACATATATATATTACTTCCTGTATGCATGGCATTGTAATTAACACTTTACAGTGTGCACACTGAATGACTGTGAATGAAAAGCAGTTTTCCTACTCTACACTTGCGTTAATATGTGACTACATTAGGAAGAGGTGGAGTCTGAGGAGAACAGAGTACCAAGATAGAATCAAATTTCCAGAGTGCAAACATAAACGGGTTGAACAGGTTTGTTTAAAAATGGCCCACAAAAGCAACTTTTGTCCTGCAAATGACTGTAGAGAACCTTTAACACACAATGAATGTTAACTTTAAGTGAAAAGACAGTTGTGTTTATAATTGCATAATGAGACCATTTAAGGCAATCACAATCAGCTTAAGGCTCATTCCATGCCAAGTTGTTTAATAACC